GGGTCCTTTTTCGATCCCTTCTTAAAAATTGGTGTAACTGTTGCCTCTTTCCATGATGTTGGTAGTTGGGAGTTTTCCAGGGATTTCTTGAAAACAATTTGTAGTGGTTTCTTTCATGCCTCAGCTGTTTCGGAGATAAGTTTTGGATGGAGATTATCCGGCCCTGGTGATTTAGTTGGGTTAATCCGTTTGATCGCCTTTATTACAGAATCCTCTGTAATGTCAATATCTACCAAGGGTTCGTGAAAGTTTCTCCTTGGAAGGGGTGGTAGTGGTGTATCCTGGTCCTTAACAAAAACACTTGCAAAGAAGTTGTTTAGGGTGTCGGCTGTGTCTTTATTGTCGATAGTAAAATTCGCCATTCGGTTTTTGTATTCCTCCAATGCTTGATTTGACTTTGGTTTTTGATCGTGCGATTTGTTTTGATTTTCGCTGCCAGATCTTCCTCGTAGTGGTATTAAGATTTGCGTACTGCCTTTGTTGTGATATTTCTGGTTTCCTGGTATTTCACAAAGTTCTCAGTAGTTTTACAGTGGAGATATTTAATCCAATGACGCCTTTTTGCAGATATGGCCGTTTTTGCCTCTAGATTCAGTTCTCGGTTGCGGAATTTCCTGGTGGTACATCCCTTACTCACTGGTATGAATTTGTCAATACAATTTTGGAGAAAAACAGTAAGGTTGTTCCAGGCTTCTTCTACTCCTTGAATAGATTCTAGATGAGTACAGTCAATATCGCCTAAGGATTGGTTAATGCTCTCATATAGTCACTTTTGAAAAAGTTCTTTTTTGAAAAGTTGTTATGTTCAGTAGGAGGATCTGAATAGCAGATGAGTTTAAATTTGATTCCCAAATGGTCACTTTTACCCAGTCCTTCCCTGAAGTCTACGTCCTGGACCATTCCCTCTTCGTTGGTGAATATTAGATCCAATATGGAGGGGATCTGATTTTCCCTATACCTTGTTGGTTGTTGGATATGTTGATAGAGGAAATTGTCACGGATGCTTTCAAGGAATAAACTGGTAGGGTTGTTCACACTGGTTAGGGATATTTGCCTTTCCCAGTCGATTTCCTTGTAGTTAAAGTCACCCAGCAGAAGTATGTGGGTAGTGTTAGTGGCATCCATCTTGTCTACTAGTCGGTTTATCTTGTTGTTGTTTTCGGTGGAACTGTTTGGGCTCCGATATACACAGCATATCTTAAGTTTGTCGGTTCCGTTGAGCCTGACTGTGCACGTTAAATATTCCTGGCATAGTTCGTATTGTTCCGTTGTGACCAGTTCCGCACACAGATAGATCCTGTGATACCAGACCACGACCATATATTTACATTCGCTCCCATTAAAGCTGTGTAAACCGTGACTGCGTATACATTACCGTATACGCAGCGAGATTCCTTGGAGACCATTGTTTCCTATTGATGACGTAGTTTACATTGTGACGTCATAATAGCAACGTTGGAGATCCATCGCTGCTCGCAGGCGGTAGGCTGTTCATTTGTTTGGATTTACGCACGTTACGGAGGCTTTGTACCATTATAAAAGCAAATGTATTGGAGTTAGCTTTATTCTGAGTGTACCATCATAGTACGAAAATATGGAAATATAATAATTGATCTTCAGTTTGACTGCGTATACGGTAGTATGAAAGCAGTTCTCAACAAACATATTCTTTACGGAGCGCTAACGCACTCCATAGAATATGTTCGTTGCCAACTGCGTTCATACTACCGTATAAGCAGTCAAAATGAAGGTCAATCCTTAAATATCCTGTGATACCGGTCCACAACAATAGATCGTGCGATACTGAACCACGGCGATAGATCCTGTGATACCAGACCACGACCATAGATCATATGATACTGGACCACAGCAATATATCTTGCGATACCAGACCACAACAATAGATCCTGTGATACCAGGCCACGACCATATATCACGTGATACCGGACCACAACCATATATCATGTGATACCGGACCACAACAATAGATCCTGTGATACAAGACCACGACCATATATCCTGCGATACCGGACTACAACAATTAAATGATCCTTTGATACAGGACCACGACCATATATCTTGTGATACCGAACCACGAGCAAATAGCATGTGAGAACGGACCACAACAATAGATCTTGCGATACCAGACCACGACCATAGATCCTGTGATACAAGACCACGACCATATATCATGTGATACCGGACCACGACCATAGATCCTGTGATACCGGACCACAACAATAGATCTGGCGATACCAGACCACGACCATATATAATGTGATACGAGTCCACGAACATATATCCTGTGATACGGAACCACAACAATAGATATTGTGATACCAGACCCCAATCATAGATCCTGTGATACCAAACCACGACCATAGATCATGTGATACCAGTCCACGACCATATATCCTGAGACACCGGTCCACAACAATAGATCGTGCGATACCGGACCACGACCATAGATCTTGTGACAACGGACCACGACCATATATTATGTGAGACCAGACCACGACCATAGATCCTGTAATACCAGACCACGACCATAGATCCTGTGATACGAGACCACAACCATAGATCCTGAGATACCAGATCACGACCATAGATAGGCTGATATCGGACCACAACCATATATCTTGTGCTACAAGACCACGACCATATATCCTGCGATACCGGACTACAACAAAAGATCCTGTGATACCAGATCACGACCATATATCTTGTGCTACAAGACCAGGACCATATATCCTACGATACCGGACTACAACAAACGATCCTGAGATGCCAGATCACGACCATAGATCGGTTGATATCGGACCACGACCATAGATCTTTTGCTACAAGACCATGACCATAGATCATGTGATACCGGACAACAAAAATAAAATGATCCTTTGATACAGGACCACGACCATATATCTTGTGATACCGAACCACGACCAAATAGCATGTGAGAACGGACCACAACAATAGATCTTGCGATACCAGACCACTACCATAGATCATGTAATACGAGACCACGACCATATATCTTGCGATACGGGACCAGGACCATAGATTTTGTGATACCGGACCACGACCATATATCATGTGATACCGGACCACGACCATATATCATGTGATACCGGACCACAACAAAAGATCCTGTGATACCAGATCACGACCATATATCTTGTGCTACAAGACCAGGACCATATATCCTACGATACCGGACTACAACAAACGATCCTGAGATGCCAGATCACGACCATAGATCGGTTGATATCGGACCACGACCATAGATCTTGTGATACCTGACCACGACCACAGATCCGGTGATACAAGACCACGACAGTATATCATGTGATATCTGACCACGACCACAGATCCGGTGATACAAGACCACGACCATAGATCTTGTGATACCGGACCACGACCATATATCATGTGATACAAGACCACGACCATATATCATGTGATACCGGACCACAACAATAGATCCTGTGATAATAGACCACGACCATAGATCATGTGATACCCGACCACGACCACAGATCCTGTGATACAAGACCACGACCATATGTCATGTGATACCGGACCACGACCATAGATCCTGTGATACCGGACCACAACAATAGATCTGGCGATACCAGACCACGACCATATATAATGTGATACGAGTCCACGAACATATATCCTGTGATACGGAACCACAACAATAGATATTGCGATACCAGACCCCAATCATAGATCCTGTGATACCAAACCACGACCATAGATCATGTGATACCAGTCCACGATCATATATCCTGAGACACCGGTCCACAACAATAGATCGTGCGATACCGGACCACGACCATAGATCTTGTGACAACGGACCACGACCATATATTATGTGATACCAGACCACGACCATAGATCCTGTGATACGAGACCACAACCATAGATCTTGTGCTACAAGACCACGACCATATATCATGCGATACCGGACTACAACAAAAGATCCTGAGATGCCAGATCACGACCATAGATCGGTTGATATCGGACCACGACCATAGATCTTTTGCTACAAGACCACGACCATATATCATGTGATACCGGACAACAACAATAAAATGATCCTTTGATACAGGATCACGACCATATATCTTGTGAAACCGAACCACGACTAAATAGCATGTGAGAACGGACCACAACAATAGATCTTGCGATACCAGACCACTACCATAGATCATGTAATACGAGACCACGACCATATATCTTGCGATACCGGACCACGACCATAGATCTTGTGATACCGGACCACGACCATATATCATGTGATACCGGACCACAACAATAGATCCTGTGATAACAGACCACGACCATAGATCATGTGATACCTGACCACGACCACAGATCCGGTGATACAAGACCACGACCATATATCATGTGATACGGAACCACAACAATAGATCTTGCGATACCAGACCACGACCATAGATCATGTGATACCAAACCACGACCATAGATCATGTGATACCAGTCCACGACCATAGATCCTGTGATACCGGTCCACAACAATAGATCGTGTGATACCGGACCACGACCATATATCATGTGATACCAGACCACGATTATAGATCATGTGATACCGGATCACGACCATAGATCCTGTGATACGAGACCACGACCATAAATCATGTGACACCGGACAACGTCCATAGTTTCTGTGATACCAGACCACGACCATATATCATGTGAAACCGGACCACAACAATAGATCGTGTGATACCGTCACACGACCATAGATCCTTTGTTACCGTACCACGGCTATAGATCATGTGATAACGGACCACGACCACAGATCATGTGATACTGGACCATGGCCATAGAGTCTGTGATACCGGATCACAACCCGATATCATGTTATACCGAACCCGATTTGAGATCCTTTGATAGTGGAACGCGACCCAAGATCCCTTGATATGAAAGAAGTGAATCAACACATAATATCCTGTGAATATTACTATTTTGAGCGGGAACTCATTTATTCGCGGAAGAATAGTTATGCAGACAGAATAATAATGCATACGTACTATAGAATACGTCCAGCAAGGCCTGATTTCAAAACAACAACAAACGTCATTGATGTGTCAAATATGCAAAAGTTTTAATTCCAGATATAACAATAAATAGATATAATTATTTAATGATAATGTTCTCAATTATTGTAAAGTATGATAATGTATTTGTACCCGTCAATATATAAAGGTATAATATTCTCTATAAACTTACATGTATGTAATATATATATATTAAATTACATTTCCATCATAAGCGGAAGTTACTTTATCACAATCAACCTCGTTCTGGTAATCAGTTTCCGACTTCCACTTCAATTCCGTAATGATCCGACCTCGGGAAATCTTGAAGAGGGATGTTTTCCACATATATCCGCTGAAGCAAACAATGTTGTAACCAGGAGTTAGTAACTAACCACAGTTTTACCTTGTTACTTAATGTCATAGTTATACGGGAACATGTCATGACCAAGGGTCAATGTCGTATACCGAACTGTTTCATGGTTGGTAAAGAATTACAAGATACCTGGCATATGTTATATTTATATATTTTTATCCATCTCTTGTATTATGCTTACACACTTAACATCATGGATGCATCGATATGTCTTACCTTAGCACTCAGGACTGTATGATCTCGTACGAATATGTGATCTAGCACGTGACTGTAATTCCAGCCACTTCTGAGAGGATTTTGGACACAGTAAGTACATAGCCCTACCATGGTGACGTAAGGCGACGCAAATCCCTCTGACAGGAAATGATTGTAGGCACCTGCAATGAAGGAATCCATGATTATACATGTGAAAATTATTTCTGCAATTTTACTGTTACATAAATTTTCTTCAAAAAAGAGACCCACACGAAAGAGCCTGTGACTCTATTTTATATGAACGATTATTTATGCTAATTAATTGTTGACAAATGTGCAACACACACCTGGATCCAGGACAACACTCAGATTTTAGTAAAGTGCCAAGAGGAAGTTCTCAAGGGAAATAACTCTAACCTAGTCATCAAATAACGTATAGAAACGATGTCAAACTGACATCAAGGGCTGACCAACTTAATTAAGTTCAATTTATACGCCTTTTAATTACAAGTGTAACTGTTCTTTTTCAAGAAATAGGGAAAATCATAGCTTTTAATGAGCCCCAAAGGTCACATCTGCCCAGCCTCTGTGTAGAAGTTACCCTCGAAATCGGCGATGACATTGAAGGCTGGTATCCCGGGACTAGTATTAAGATCTCCCATGATCAGCGGTTTGTTCGACCTTCGTGCTGCTGCCGTCAGCTTACGAGAATCCGCGAGGTTTTGTTCCTCCCAGCTGGAGTACACATTCAGGAGGTTTGCTGAAATGAAACGGCGTGTTTTTAAAAAAGGATGATATTGCAGATCATTTAATTTAACTTCTGTAATAGATGAATGCAACACACACAGACAGGTGGTTGAACCTTTAAAATTTGGTACATTGTAATAGAAAAAGTAAGCCAAAATGAAGAACATGGCGTCATAAATTAAAGCTGTTTAAACTTTTCTCTTCCAAAGAGTAAATTGGACCAGATTTCGACGGATAGCGTTTATATGAACAATAAGACAATTCAGATTTTTTTCTATATTTCAACATTTAACTTATAACTCATAGGAAGCTTGTTTAACATAGACTGCTTACGCTCGTAGTATTCCTGGCCTATGTTAGAAGCAGTATGGCTACAGATGACAGTCCCCACGCCTTCAATCTGAAACGATCATAAATCAAATGTTTACATAAGTGATAAATTGTATTGTATGGACAAAATACCAATTCAAAAATAATCCGAGATGTTTTTCCAATTAGGCACCATATATTTTTCGTTCATCGCAACATCTTGAACAATTCTGTCGAAGTTTGGAATCGAACGATCAACTTTGCCAGGGTTCTTCCGTTGACCAGGAAAGTTTGGAATCGAACGAACTTTGCCAGGGTTCTTCCGTTGACCAGGAAAGAAAAGGCCAAATATAATAAGAATACACAAAGTGTAAAAAGTTGTCCGCTTGTTCAAATCTAATGTCTTATTTGAAAGTAACGGCCGATACTTTTCAGACCAGATACGCATGCGCAATGCGAAGTCAGCTGCATTAAGGTCATAGGAGTGTATTGATAAACGGAAATAGGAAGTACATCCCTTGTTGAAAATCCAATGTAGGGAGACAGTATCACAATTTCCGCATATTCCAAAGTTTAATATTAAACTGATGAATATTGTATGTTTATTATTTACAGAACAGTGTGTTCTCTCAATATTGAAGTATTTCAAAGCAATCCAGGCATTAATTCAGTTGTGTTTTATCAATGAGTCGCATGTGTCCACTTTTCTGTACTTCAGGAAACCGGCAACCAATTTCACTATTTGAATTTTTTCAAGAAAGATAACTCTTCCATGCAATTACTATGTGTATACGTTTTTTTGTATAAAGTGTACATTTTNTTAATAAGATACATGTATTAATAAAGATGTCGATTTTGAGGGGTGAAGGGTGTTAAAATCTGTTCGAGTCTTGTATATATTGCTGAGTATTCATGAATATAATTTTGTTTTCTTGTTCCGAAGTTGTTATATCTCCAAAAAGAAGTAGATTCAATGTAAGGGGATGTATGCATTCAGTTCACGATAAAGTTTAATTCTCTGTTCAACATCTGTATGTTGACGAGGCGGAATATTTGGATTGTTCGTGAACGTCCTATTACCAAAGTTTATACGACACATTCGGTTTACTATTGAACAAGTTCATACATGTACATGTCAGTATGCATACCAATCTGTGCTTATCGACAAAATCGGTGATTATTTGTATAGATTTGTGAAGAGTTTTGTGTAAATGCATACGACACATGTGAAATGTTTGATTTGATTTCGGATCTAAATAGATGCCTTCACACGGATGGAACGAACGTTTCAGTAATAAATGGAGGTAAGAACAAGGAATGGGTTATTTTTTACTTTTTATTTCATTCAACAAATGCATTTCATCGGTCGTTTCTGTCCTGTTGCCTACTAGCCTGTATCAGCGGGATTTCGCTATGAGGCGAGCTTGACGCCATATTATTTTGGTTAGAAACGGGGCGTGGCTTAAGTGCGATCGGAGGAGCTTAACACGATTGATCATGATTCTATCGCATATTAGAACATGGTCCGTATCCAATCAAAACACGCGTTGCAAACGAATCGTGTTAGAATCGATTATAAATAATTTATTTTACACAATTTCAGCATATACATTAATGCAATAATTATCTATGGCAGTATCATTTTTATTGACATTATTTTGCCAAAAATTGTGTCTTTCATTTTATTCTTCAAAATTCACTCCTTTTTACATAAATTTCCATTTAAAATCGTTAAAATTCTGACAACCTGTATGTTTTTTTGTGGCAGAAATTTTTCTTTACTTCAAAGCAATATAACTACAAAATTTGAAGATTTTTTACTGGGAAATGGTGACACAATCCTATTACCTTTATTAATAATGCGCGAAATTAAAATAGAAAATTAAAGAAAATTACCTCTGCTTCGATAAACGCCCGTCTTAAGATCTGTTTTACATTCGGTTCAAAGAACACAGATTTGACAGAGTTCACCTTCCTCTGACTCAGAAGCATCACTCCCGGGACATTCATCGCCTCTCGCTTCCTGTAGTCAAAGCAACGAAGCGCACCCTTACCGGAAACGGTGAGACAGGAAATACATGCCTGGCTCTCTGACATCATACCACACCCAACAGAACAGTTCGTGAGCGCTGCCTTGTTCGTCAGGGATGCGCAGTTGTAAAATATACACGCGACAGTCAGTGCTGCATTATGACATGGAGGAACATTTACCCAATTCCATAACACCGTTTCCTGAAACAGAGGCGGTGTGTACACAAAAACACTACTGCCTACTGTCTTCCTTATCTCGGCGACATCGCTGCCGTACCACACCTTGAAATGAAACAGTTTGGAAAATGTTATTCTTTTGTAGATACCTTAAAACTGACAATGCAAGACAAAAACCGCAATTGAGATTTTCTGGTTTTGAGATCTTCCCTATCTCTTCCGACTGTCGTTTCTAAGGAAAGCCAACATTTTAGTTTGTCCTTGCTTGGTAACGAGTTTGGGTCTTGCTGGGTATAAAAAAAAAAACGCATTACCCGTCAAACCGGTTGTCATTTGATTAATATGTGCGCAAGGTGACACTACTATACTACATGTATATGTATATATAACATTATCACATTATTTTACCGACATTTTGTATCAGATCAGTTGAATAAATTGAAATGGAACACATCAAAGATAGCACTGGAGTCGCCTATACTACATCATACCCTTATAACTTTAATGGAATTTTGGGAGACGACTTCTTGGTCCGAATGTGTTTGAATTGTCGCCAGCCGTATCGCATCAAAATGTCTAGTACGGCACAGATGTAGGAGGAAGGCGTGTCACATCAAGGCTGTCCTGTGACCCTAGCCTACTCTTTAACCGGATTGACAGGTAATGCGCGTTATATACCCAGCGAGACCCATACTCGTTACAATGTTCCAAGCAAGGACAAACTAAATTGTTGGCACTTCCTTAGAAACGACAGTCGGAAGAGATAAGGAATATCTCAAAACCAGATTGGTTTTTTGTTTTACTCTCAATTGAAAGCTTTTTAACTTGCATTGTCAGCTTTAACAAATGAGTAAAGCATTTTTTACAAAGCTTCATTTGGAACGTGAGTTTTTGTTTTCACCTGACTATGACGAAGTCGAGGTAATACAAATATGTATGTCCAAATAACCACATATTCACCGAAATAATAGTCCTTAATTGTCATATTTCATATGAGATTTTGCAGATTTTTAATCATTAAATGAGATAGAACGTAAGGAAAAATGACAGCAACCGGTACCGAGCAATGTGACGTTACAACTGAAGTGATACCATACAGCTGGTATTGACCTGCTATCTGTAAACATGATAACATCTTGTTACTGAATTGATAACGAATTACAATAATGTATATCCATACGTGGGAACTTCTGAAATAAGATTTACTCTTTCAAGCTCGATAAGTGTTTTTTTTTAAAGAATCCTTACTTTGGTTATACATTAGAATCCATCGTGTGTAGCCCTTAACACACTGATATCGTTCATACCTACCTCTTGAATGCACATGACGTCATAATCCCCAGTTGTCAGCGTCTGGATAACGCTTGGTTTCCGTTCTTCGTAATGGTCTACAAGGTCGAGGAGGGCGACATTGTAAGAATGTATTTTTACAGTCTGGATCACCCCCAACAGTGACGTCATACACAGCAGCTGAACCAACGTCATAGTGTGAACTCTATGAATAGAACCAGAACATTTCACCTAAAACTTTCGATTACTCTTTTATCAAGGTTAGTGAAGGTACATTTTATCAAAGGCCGTTTTCGTTTATCGCGATTCAAACGGTTGAACCGGTTGGTCCAGTGGTGTTCGTTAATGAAAGAAGGTCGGACATAGCAATCTGATGTTATTTTCAAGTGAGCCTTGACAAAGCCTTGCAAGGCCTGAATCAAGATAGGCAGGTACGTCAGGATTTATTGAAAAATATGTTGCATTTAAAAACAGACGAAGAGGTTATTCCGCATAAACGGACAGGCATAGTGCCTCTCCTAAATGGACCGCGTGCAAATAGTATCTATCAAATTATCTCATCACGCGGGATATATTTATCTCCATTACGAAGCTGTACAGAACATTGACAATTAATCCTTCATTCTAACTCATTTGAAATTTAACATGGCACTTAATTTGTCAATTGGGATAATATGCAACTGAATTACCGCAATATTATCTAGAGCCCGTATTATATGAAATGACGTCATTGGCCACAACCGACCCCGACACGTTATGAAAACTGTTGTTAATGATGTTACAACATTTAATATCATCACCCTGCACTTCGCATAACAAATCAACAGCAGAGTGGTCTAGAGTGATTAAAAACGTACCACACAGTATCGCATGATATGAAGATTGTCCGTTGTATATGAATTAAAATGGGGTAACCCCACTATTTTGGGGGTTCGTGGTGGTACATGTGTATCGTGATAGTATTAGCAAATGTGAGTTTTACCGGTGAAGCGTAGCCGCTTTACTAATTTTAGCTATCTACCAATTTATACACACTTCATATTTGGAAGAAAATGTACTAAAATAGTGTGAATTAACAGTGGGTCAGGTAACATACATATCTCACACATGAAAGGACATAGGGCGTTATGTGTCATTTTTGGCCTCATAAAAAAGAAATTCAACTTTATTTATTTACCAATCTCTATTATAAACATCAGATTGGTTAATTGGGGTAAACTGTCCTAGTGTAGATTTTTTCCAATGCACATACATAGATGCCCTACCATAGCAACAAAATTGCGTTGCTATGCAGAAATAAAAGCCTTCGCATGAGACAAACAAAAAATCCTTTCTACGAGGGAACAGCGGTATGACAATGTTTAAGCATGTCAAATATTGATCTGTTTGGTGTATGCGGAGGATTTCAAAAATTGAAGTGTGTTAAGTTCCTTCAAAATGGCAAATTTTCAACCAAATAGCGTACGACAGACCATATTCGCGCTTTTTATTATGAAAATGAGGGTTTCTGTCTCTCTTTGAAATGTCATATCTCCTAGATCAGTTGTCGAATGAATTTTGAAATTCCATTTGCGTACTTCATTTATTCCAGATAACGATGATAACAACTAAATCTAAATCATCGATGAGGCCGGATATGACCCTAACGCCCCTAGTCCTTTCAGTCCAATCAACTCAGATGGATGTTACTTAAATATGAAACTGAGGATGATTGAGTGGTAATTGTCCTCTCTGATACGACTTGGTCCTTTTATTTCCCTCCATGTACGTGGGAATATCTATGACTCACTAGTACGACAGAGCTGGACAGGTCAGCGGTGAGAACGCTATCGTTTTAAGCACAGGGACCTGAGAATTTGTTACAACTACAATGTATACCTAATGTATATGAACCTAAACTTAAGTGTTCAGAGTAATTTTACACGTTTTATGGGTTTAGATCAACTTTCGGTAAAAATGGCGCCCCAACGATGATACGCATTTTCACCTTAGACGTGTAAAATTACTCTGAATACATCAGTTTAGGCCATATATAGCTGTAACTCAATTTTCGTGTCCCTGTGTTTTAAAGGTCAATGTTGGTCAAATCAAATTACATGTCTCACATACTCATGACCGCAAACACAGAAACACATTACATGTCTCACATACTCATGACCTCAAACACAGAAACAATACATGTCTCACATATTCATGACCTCAAACACAGAAACATGTTACATGTCTCACATACTCATGACCTCAAACACAGAAACATGTTACATGTCTCACATACCCATGACCTTAAACACAGAAACACGTTACATGTCTCACATACTCATGACCTCAAACACAGAAACATTACATGTCTCACATACTCATGACCGCAAACACAGAAACACATTACATGTCTCACATACTCATGACCTCAAACACAGAAACAATACATGTCTCACATATTCATGCCCTCAAACACAGAAACATGTTACATGTCTCACATACCCATGACCTTAAACACAGAAACATGTTACATGTCTCACATACTCATGACCTCAAACACAAAAACATTACATGTCTCACATACTCATGAACTCAAACACAGAAACATGACATGTCTCACATACTCATGACCGCAAACACAGAAACATTACATGTCTCACATACTCATGACCTCAAACACAGAAACAT